GTAAGCGATGCCTTCGGCTAGTGTCTTGATCTCGTGCTGGAATTGTTCACGGCCAAATGCCGGCACGTTAGGTACATTGAGAGGTAGACTGTTTGCGTCAGCATGGAATTTCTTCGACTGGGCTAGCCTTGCTTTACTTCACAGGTACAATCTCGCCAGACCTGATCTCTTTGGCGGCTGCGGCTACGCGAGTCGGTGTCAGAAGGTTCAAGCGTCCAATCTGTTGCATATTAGCGTCGTGCCGGCGCATAGACGGCGGTGCTGTCATTTTACATAGTCGTTGTCACCCCAGACCCAAGCCGCCTCCTTGGGAGCACCAGGAATCTCCGGAAGCTCCTTTCGCGTGGGGAACTTGGTGCTATCCGGGTCCCAAGGGATGGTCGTTGCAGTCTTATTCATAGTCAGGAAATCCTTGATTTGCGTCAAGCGCTGACTCGCGGTGTTCTTGGGGTCCGCCATGTTGTTGCACGAAGGGTCTCTTGCTGCACAATGTTGTGATTTTTCGCTTTCTGGAATCAATCACATCACCAGAAGATGCAATTCACTCTCTACTGAAATACTTGCAACGTCCGAGGACGTCATCACGTTTACCCCGCATTATTCTGGGCCTGGTGGGCTTGCGCCGAGGCTTCCGTGGGCCGTCTGCGCGCCTTTGGCTATCGTGAACCGATTGGACTTGTCGCAAAAGCCATCATCACATAGCTCTTTCTATTGTCCCAAATCCGGGCTTGCGGTCTGACTCCCAGACGGAAAATAAGGATGGCATTACGGCTGGCAGATGATTGCGTCGTTCGTCCGAGATTGGAGTGGTGGCGTAGAACTTCCGGGTGACCGGTTAATTAACAGCCGTGCGTGGCCCCCTTTCGTGGGAGGGGGCGCTCTTGGCCCAGAAGCTTATTGTTGTCAAGAAAATCTTGAGTGTGCAGGGCAGTCTTGTTCTCAACATCGAGTTATCGTACGTGGGTTTTGAGTTTGACAGCAGGGGCTGTACCGACAAGATGGGGGAACAGTTAGCGCATATATAATGCGCGATAACGCGTGATGACATATACTAACTAATCACGCCTTTATTATGATTAGTGTAGATGAGGTATACCGGCAGACGGTACGGACCATCCCAGCCATCTAATAGCACTCCTCTTGCCTCTCGCTGAACCATGGACTGCATTTTATGTCTGCTTGCACCGCTCACTCGCCTCCTTTCACACTGGTTCAGCTGTTGTCCTCAAGACCGAGCTGTCACTTATCAATCTCTCATCAGAGCTGCAGCCTCATGCGTGGAAAGTTCTTAGATCACAAATCCATCTAACAAACGTTGATTTAACCGGTTGCTGTCGGCGTTTTTTATACAGCATAATCATTGGTCCCGGTACTAGCGCCGATATCAGCAAACTGTCCAGATGAAGGACAGTCTCCCATCCAGCCTGATCCTAGTCTGCTTACTCGTTGGAGGGAAAATTCATGTCCGTCTCGCCGCTCAGCCGTGGCTGATGGGTCTGTGCTGGTAGTCCATATAAACACACTACCCCAGACCACTACCCCAGACTCCAGTCCATCCCCACATTACTTCTTTTCTTCTATACTTTGGACATTTGTTCTAGAGTGATGGCTTCAGCTGCTGAGAAGTCAACCGCTCAAGGCATTGAATATGCCTCAGATGCCTCCGTGGACGTCGCCGTCGCTTACGAGGAAGGCAAGGTACAGGGATTGGGTGAAACCATCATCTGTACCGATGAAGACAACAAACGGATCCTCCGCAAGACAGACACCTGGATGCTATCTCTCCTTTGCATGGTTTACTTCCTCCAATCCGCCGACAAGGGTATCATTGGTTTGACAGCCGTCTATGGACTGAAAACCGACGCACACCTCAAAGGAAACGACTACTCCAATATTGGAAATATTGGTTACTATGCGCAGCTCGCGGTACAGCCTTTGGCAGCATGGATCTTGGTCAAACTTCGATACCGTCAAGTCCTACCAGTCATCATTGTATGCTGGGGCATCTCTGTTGCTGGTGGTCTTGGAGGATCAAAGAACTACGCTGGACTCCTCGCATCCCGCTTTTTCCTGGGTGCGTTCGAAGCAGCAGTCGTTCCTCTCTTCTCAATGATCACGATCGCCTTTTACAGGCGCTCTGAACAGCCTTTCCGAGTTGCATGCTGGTACAGTTGTTACGGGCTCAGCACTCTGATCAGTGCTCCCATCGTTTACGGATTTGGTCGCATCCATTCGGCTCACCTGTACCGGTATCAGATTGTCTATCTTTTCTTCGGACTGCTCACCATTGTCATCGGTGCTTTCACTTACTGGTGGGCGCACGACAGTCCTGGAGAAGCTCGTTTCCTAACGCCTGAGGACCGTCTAAAGGCTATTGAGCGAGTCAAAGCAAATCAGCAGGGTATCGTCTCGCACAAGTTCAACTGGGCACACGTTTTCGAAGCCTGGACCGAGCCCAAGTACTGGTTGTACATGATCATGGTTATTGCTGTCAATGCCGGTGCTGCCGTCTCCTCAGTTTTTGGTGCCATCATCCTTCAAAATCTTGCTGGTTTCACCGCCGACGAAGCTGTTCTGCTCAACATGCCATTCGGCGCACTTCAGTTTGTGTCTATTCTCCTGGCATCATGGTTGGCGTACCGCTTCAAACGCAAGTCTCCGTTCTTACTCGGACTCGTCACCATTGTCATTGTCGGTGTTGCATTGATGGTCGCTCTTCCAAAGACCAAGGCCAACAAAGGTGGACTTCTTGCTGGATACTATCTGATTGCCTTTGTCTACGCCATCAACCCTCTACTTATCTCATGGATGGGAGCCAACTGTGCAGGACAAACCAAGAAGGCTGTCTACTACACATCCTTTAACGCCGGAAACGCCGTTGGAAACATCATTACCCCATACATCTTCGACAAGAAGTTTGCTCCACAATACGTAAGTAACCATCGATACGCTTCGTGTAAAGTAGTACTGTATTGACAGTCTTCTAGGTCAACGCTCTCAAGGGCATCCTCGCGATTTGGTGCATCCTTTGGGGTGTGGTGATTGTGCAAATGTTCGTCATCACATGGATGCAGAAGAAGAAGTGTGATGAGCGTGAGGCAGCTGGTCTTCCCAGGAACCCTATTGACTACTCGATGAGCGGGCATCAGCAAGATGCCGATGCCGATGTACATGCCGAGAACGGTCTGCAAGACATGACAGACAGGGAGAACATCTACTTCCAGTACTTGTTGTAACATGGCTCAGGGGCCCATATGTTTAGATAGTTCATTTTTAATGGAAGCCACAATCCTCGCGTTGATCTGATTTGTTCTTGTAATCCTGGACAACTAGCACCGCACCAGATTTCGTGGGGCCCCACTTATGTCGTGTTCTTAATCAGGTTAGCGCATCTGGCTGTTGCCATACGGATTGTACCAACTTTTGTCACACCCTCTGTTTCTCCAGTCACCTTTGGCGTAACGCCGTTCGCCCTCAACATCTCTCAGCGCTCTCGGGGGTGTCCTCGTGCAAGTTTGCCTATTTACCGAATGACTGGACCTCTATCACGTCTTTTCTACTACATCCTCATCCCTTGTATTTCTATTGTACTGTACTCGCTCTATACACCCGCGCAGCACCCTACACAGCCAATGCCCGTGCCAAGCTCAGCGCGGGAGGTAGCGACTGCTCTTCTCGCTGAAAAAGGACTACAGCTCAAGTCTCTGGAACGCATCCAGTCGTTATGGGCAGGCTATGGCGAGATATCCCGAGTCACTGCTGTTCCAGTGTCTGCATCGACTGCTCCATCTGAGTCGTATGTGCTCAAGCTCGTTACACCACCTCCAACAAAGGCAGATGATGAAGGGCATACGAGGAAGATATTGAGCTACAGGGTGGAACAATACTTCTACACTCATCTCGCACCTCAGATGCCAAGTTCGCTTCCAGTCGCTCAATGCATAGCAAGCATTAACAAGCACAATGCAGACGGTACCTCCATAACAGCAATGTTGCTGAGTGATCTCAAGCAACAGTATCCCGTTGCTGGTGAGAAACGAGCGGTGCTCACAGATACCCAAGTCTTTGCTGCGCTAGATTGGCTATCTGGCTTCCATGGCTTCTGGTGGTCGCGCGTGAAGAGCTTTGCTCCTTCATCACTCGTGCTACCTCCACTTGAGGAAGTCCAACGTCATGGCCAAGACACCGACGAGAAAAGCGTTTGGCTGAACGGTGGTTATACGTACCTTGCTACACGCCGAAAAGAGTACGCCTCGCTAGTCGAATATGACGACACTGAATGGAGCGCGCTGCTTACCAGTCGCGTCGAGGGACACGAGCTGTCAATCGCTGAGATGGTAGCTGTTTTCCTTGCGCCAAAAGGTTCCGGAGGCACCCCAATAGACAAATACCAGACGCTAATTCACGGCGACGTCAAGTCCGAGAATCTCTTCACCAGTACTTCGGGCAAAGACGTTGCATTCTACGACTTTCAATACACGGGACTTGGCTTGGGTGTCTGCGATCTTGCAAAATACTTCACGTGCTCGGTCCCACTCAGTATGTTGGTCGCCGACCAACACGTACCGGAGAAACTTCCTATGCAGACGGGTGAAGAGCAGCTCTTACGCAGATACTGGGAGAGGCTACGCGAAACTGGCGAGCGAGAATACGACTGGGCTACTTTCATCCGGCATTGGGAGGTGGCGCTTGTGGACTGGTTGCGGTTCCAGGCGTCTTGGGGTTTCTGGGGAAATACTGAGTGGTTGGAGGCGAGGGTTCGAAGTGTACTAAGCGATGAAGAATGGCGAGGGTTTTTGATCAGCAATGTGAGCGGGACTAATAGTACGTAGATAAATGAGCGTCCAGCGCGTCGAAACACTAGCATGCGCGTTTTACGCGTGGTGGTCTCATGGAATGATTGTGGAGATCTACCCCACCACCCTACCCCTCCTCTCGTCCAAAGCAACACCGGACAACAAGATTGCCAAAATTATCTTTCTCTTCAACAATACCAAGCTGCTTGAGTGGCCAAGTGGTAAGGCGTCGCACTTGTATTAACTTGCAATGCGAAGATCCATGGTTCGACTCCGTGCTTGAGCAACAACTTACTTTTTTGCTTTGGAAGCATACTTTTTGCACCTTAACGGACCTTACCCGTCAACATTATCTCTGTTTAACAGCCTCATGACCAAAATTCACTTTTTCATCCAGAGGGGTATTTTTTGCTTTGGTCCAGATTGCCGTCTGGCGGCGCCGAAGTTGTACGGGCTAATGTCACTTGTGGCATGGTAATGGCACAAGCTCCCACTTTCGTCGAATAAACGTGCATTCTAAAGATCAATTCGTGTCTTACAGTTCGATAACAGCGATGGAGGATGGCGTGAACATGATGCCAAAAACTATCCGCATACAATACCGCTCGCGAGACCTTTGCCTCAACAGTACATGCGATCTAAATCTCTACTTCGTCATTCCGATAGAACAAGTGATTGTAGTTTTACAAGAAAAAGTCTTCACTAATCGAATGCGGGCACCCATGAGGCTGTAATCTCTAGCCATTCCTGTAGAACATACATCTAATTAGATTTGTAGCTATACCAGGTCAATGATGACCCAAAAATCCTAGATTTGTGTAACTGGATTTTTCAACTGTTGAATTCAGACCTCAATATTTCTTTCTAGGAATGCGAAAGTAGGGAAGCGGAACCACAATACCCTGAACAAAGTACCGTGTCCTTGTACTCGTCCAATTGTAATCACCTAATATACCGAGTTGTGAAACATAAGACACTGGAAAGAATACTGTACTGCAGAGACAAATTTTAGCCTTGCCTTGTCCTGATCGTCAGCCTGGGTACGCAAGTAGGCAGCGAGATGAGGATTTCGTCGTACCTATAGATCACAGTCTCGGAACCGCCGCGGCTTTGCGGATTATTATCATGCATAACCATCCCTTATATTCTTTATCTTGACTGCACTGCATTCCCGTCCGCAACGCTTTCTTGAAGGCCTGCACTAGCAAACCACCACACGAGGGGAGTTTCCAAAGAAAGAGAAAAAAAGAGAGAGAGAAGACGAAACCTCAAAGAGACAGCACCTGCAAGCACACCAACCCTTCTTAATATGGCTACCACTACCACCTGTATGGCAGCGACAACGCCTATAGATACTGTCTCACCAGGCTCCCCAGCTCCTCTCGCCCCTCCAAAACCAACAGTGGAACCAGCATCAAAACCCTCCCCCCTTCCACCTTTCTCCCCAGTCTCATATCTGAAATCCGCCATCTACCACATCAGCGCCACCTTCGTTGTCCTTATATCTATCCTCTTCGCCCTCTCCTTCATTTACCACATGTTGACCTTCTACACCGCGCTCCTCATCATGCCTGACCTATTATCCTTCATCCCCTTCATCCATCTACTCATGGCGTACGCCATAATTGTCCAAGTCGCGCTCCAAGTCGATCTTCTGCTCTTGCATGAGCTGTGGAGGCAGGAGGAGCTGTATGAAGGAACGTTAGTCCAAGTGGTGGGGTTTTGGTTGGTGAGGGTGAATGTGGCGGTCAGCGGGGTGGTGGTGGTATGGAACGAGGCTTGGAGGATCAGAGAGGGCGTTCAGTCGGTGATGGGGATGGTGCTGTGGATTTGCAATTTTGTTCTTTTCGGGGAGATGGCGCGCTGGGTGATTGGTGTATGAGATAGAAGGGGCGTTTGGGAAAAAAGGTCAATATGGAGTATGGATGTTTCGAGTGTCCTGGGGGTTATCAACATGATCAAGTCTGGGTTGTTCTATTATTTCTCTGTCTTGGGGTGTTTTATGCTCTGCAGGGAACGGAGTTTGTTGTGCGTGAAAGTCAGAAAGGGCTCAGGGTGAATCGTGTATTTCTAGTTTATATACCTGCGTCTGTTTCAGGTACCTTGTATGATAAATATTAGAGAGAAAGGAATAGCGGATGAAAGACACAACAAATTCCCAATACGAATCTATGGGTCTTTCTGCATTATCCCAGTCCCTTATCTCATTCGACTTTCATAATCGTTACAGCCCGCTTTCGAGCCTGCTTGGGTTTCCTGTGTCAGTCTGAATATCCAGCTCTGCACACTCTTGCTTCCGAGGAAACGACAGAGCCAGCGTGATTTTACATATGGTTGAGAAGTCTATCCGACTTGGGTCAACCCGACCCTCCTTCACTCGTCTTCTGCACCTCTGCCACAACGGAAGACCGAGCAGAAGCTGTTGTGTCTACACCCCCTACCAACTCATTTGCCATTCTTTCTGCCTCCAAACCGTCAAAATAGTCCTTGAAGGGATCTTCACCAAACTCATCCTCCTCTTCTTGCTTTGGCTTGGTGAGTGAAGGCAAAGTATACTTTGTCCGCAATGTCTCCGACATGTCGAAAGGGGTCCCTGATGTCAGTTCCGGTGTCCATTTATCCATGCCCTCGTTTGCCAAGGCGTCGGCTGCGATATTGCCTGGATCTGTGCTGTGGCCTTTGACCCAGGTAAAGGTAGTCTTGCCCTTGGATGTCAGACGCTCGCGTATCCTGGCGAGTATTGGCTGAATGAGCTCCTTATTCTCTACGCTCTTGCCAGCTGCATTCCTCCAGCCCTTTGTCTCCCAGTTGTGGAACCATTCGCGCAGGCAGCGGATGGAATAATATGAGTCTGTTCGAATCTCGACATCACGGTCGATTGGCACATGGTCGAGGGCTCGAGCTATGGCGACGAGTTCGGCTCGCTGGTTAGTTTGTCGTTCTCCTCTCAAGGGCTCTCCAATATTTCTGTGGTCATGTCAGCAATGGAAGATTATGTAGCATTTCTGGGCACGAACCTGGGGTCTCTGGGGCCAAAGTAGACGCCGACACCAGCCTTGGCGCCTACTTTGCCGTTGCCTCTGGAACCTCCGTCTGTGTGCACGACCAGTGGTCCCTTGAAGTTTCCAGTTGGATGTCGCTTGGTCGCATTTAGCTCTTCCGCGGTTTTTGCTCTGATCTTCCCAAGAGTCTCGTCCAGCTTGATTGTTGGGTCGAAGCCGTCTACTGCGCCAGGTGGAAGAGGTCCCGTGCCCGGCTCGACCTTGTTCTCTCCATTGGTTGCGATTATCGCAGGCGACGCATGCTCCCTTTTCTGTCGCTTGGGCGCATGCTCAGCTTCCTCCATCTTGTGCGTTGTTGCTGATGAGGCTTCGGACAGATGGCCCTGCAAGCTTATGGGCGCGCTGGAACCTTTTCTAGCTCGGTCAACAAATGCTTGGGCCTCTTCGCGTGTGGCAAAGCCCTGTTGCTTCGCGCCCTTGTAACCTTTTGTATGTGATTCTACAGTCGGCCAGTTTGTATAGACTCCAGGTACGCGCCCGACTGCTACTCCGTAAAACTTTGGTTTAGGCTTGGATTTCCTGACGAGGGATCCTTTCACGAATGCTTCTGCTTCGGTATAGGTGGGAAAAGACCGTACTAGCTAGGTGTCAGTACAAAGATGGACACTGCATTTGACGTTACACACCCACGTGGTTGTTGAAGCCCTCGGTCTGCTGGCGCACGTCTTCCCAGTTCTGATAGACGCCCGGCACTCTCCCAGCTTTGACGGCGTAAAATTTAAGCGGACCGTTCTTGCGCTTCGCACTGGATGTTGTTGAGGTGTTGGATGGGGCGCCTGCCATTGAGCCTTGCTCGGTGACGATGGTATCGGGGTGGTTTTCCCAGGTAGAATGTAGGCGACGGAGGGAGTAGGGTAGGCGGGTCGGAGCGTGGTCAAGGTGCAGTGTCAATGCTAGGGTATTAGGACGGCGCACAACTAGGGTATCGGAATAACGATGGCGAATTTCTGTGTCCCTGGAAGAGCAGCATTAGCTTGCGACCGTAGTAGCAAGCAAACTTGCATGTTTGGGGCCGCAGTGGGGTGTTACCATGCGTTGGTGTGACCTGGGAGAACAGCGGCAGGCCGGGAAAGAGATAACCCAGCACGGCGGAGCATGCAGCGGTGTTCTAGTATAGCGGAGGGATACAGACGCGCTGCAGTGGACACGAGAATTGGCGACGGACCTGCTGCTGCTGCTGCTGCTGTGTTTACTGTTGCGGCTTGCTAGTTGTGGGTTGACGAGTGCAGGGCTGCGGGGACCCTGCAGCAGCTTCACAGGTACGTAGTTGGCGTCCCATGTCAACGAGCTCCCCGGCTTATCGCGTGAAACACTCAAAAAGGAAAGTTGGGATTCGCAGATATTGATATAAGCTTCGGCTCCCTGCCCATATCAGAAATTGAAAAAGACACTTACTCCTGTGCCTGGTGTGCCTACGACGCGGTGACACGCTTCTTCGGAAAGCATATCCAAGACGCGCCCTGAAGCGTAACCTCGGTGAAGCATTTACCCCACTACGTCACTCATCGCCGACTGCTGGCACTCTCCTCTACCTACTGTTGAATTGCATTAGAGACATCTTCACGTCGACACCAACAGCTCTCCCTGCCCCGCGTGCACTGCGCCGTTGGCCATGTTCGAGGTGAGCCAAACAAGCCGACTGCTAATCTACTGTGACTGATGACGCGCCAGGGCCGTCACGCAGCAGACCGATACCGTCTGCATCTGCACCGCGCGCGCTCCGTGGTACTGACGAGCGATGAGCTGGTGGAGATTCGGGCAGCACAGCGCACGTTTGAGGGCGCCTATGTTCGCACAGCAATCGGGCAGTTCTCATTTGCGCTGGTAGTGCTCAAGATCTTCACCGCAGAGTTCTATTCGATTGGTGCTTTGTTTGCCGTCTACGGAGTTGGTATCCTCTTCACTAGTCTGTTCCGGCGGCAGCAAGGTAAGTGTTGTGACGAAACTGTGCATGCGCCTACACACATGGGGTGCTGATAGTCGTTAGGAAACAAACAGTTCTTCTCCGAAGTCGGTGACGACGGTCTGTACCGCAAGAAGTTCCGCACCAGCGGTAATGTCGTCTTCGCCTTGACTGCGCTCAGCGTTTCAGCATACATCTGCCTGCTGGTCCTCACGCTGAAGCTTGCAAAGTGAAGATGCGTCTGCGTGCTACCTTGGAGGCACAGGACCAGAGTATGGAAATGCGCCGTGAGCAAGCCATGTGCCGGCAGCTCCACATGAC